TATTTTTAAAGAAATTGTGCTTAAGTTGTTTTCTAAACTTGAACTCTTACTTTCAAATGATTCTTTTTAAATTTCTTATTGTTTATAAACAAAGGCCCAGTGAATTTTTGAAAAATAAAGTGTTAACTCGGGTTTTAAGGATCGTACGATATTATGTTTTATTTTGAATTCGTGTTAAAAGGCCAACATATCGAATAAAAAAAATTAACTTCTTACGTATTATTGCGTCAGAGTTATTTTAATTGTTTATATAGAATTTTTCATATAAAAATGCGTGCACGTCATTCAAGATTTATGACGTCAAAATCCTACAGCGTTGCCACAACATCAGAATAGTTAATAGGTGAGGAATTTTTAATTTAAGAATACGATTGTAATCAATTGTAGTCGATTTTTAAAATAAAGGAAATAATTACACTTTCAAAATTGATTTTAAAAGTTCATTATTTTTATCAGCTTGAGACATATTGTTAACAGTAGATACACTTAGTTTTAAGACCACTGCAACACACTAATATATAGTAGAAAACATTTTAATACAAAATTATATATTCTAAATTTTAATTTTTAGAGCATTAATAATAAAAACGTTCCGCAATTATTTCTTGTTTAAAGTAATCTATTAAAGCTTATCAGCTTTCTACAGACCATTTAGTTGTTTTGGTATAGCACAATTACAATATACAATAATAATTAGTTTTTAAAGTTATTCAGCTAAATTTAATATTCTTTATTTATAAATACAATTTATTAATATATAATATATTATCATCAAATTGTGTAAGAAATCAAAACATAAACAAAAATGTTACTCTAAAAAGCGGCAACACTTAAAAAAATTTAGCCAAACGCTAAACTGTCAGTGAAATTTGAAGTATTTCCATATCAGTGGCGTACGATTGTCATTAAATTGTGTAAGAAATCAAAACATAAACAAAAATGTTACTCTAAAAAGCGGCAATACTTAAAAAAATTTAGCCTATCGCTAAACTGTCGGTGAAATTTGAAGTATTCCCGTATCAGTGGCGTACGATTGTCTAATCTATTTCATTAAAATTATTATTTTGTGGAATATTAGACTTAAAGAGTTATTTCGTTAAATTTGTATTATTAATAATAAAAAATGTTTTTGGTTATTTAATCAATATTATTCTAAAATTGCCAATATAATGATGATTACATTTTTCTGATTATTATGCCATGTTAACGGCTATGAAAGATCGAGCAGTTCCGTATGGATGTCGTATTATTAGCTGTGTTAGGAAAAGTTGAACTCTGAAGTTGAAATTGAATTAAATAAAAAAATTTATTCTTAAGGTTGATGTTCTGGAAATTTTAGAAACCTACAAGTGACGTTACTTTGTATAAATTTTGACATGTAACGTTTTTACTTTGAAAATGATATAAGCCTAAAATCACCGTACTTTTTCAAACCTATTTTACAATAATTAGCATAAACTTTTTAATCGTTAAATTATATAATTTGATAAAATAATCCTTTTTCTTTAATTTGGTGCTCTCAAGAAATTCATGTAGACTCAATAGTTTACGCATAATATCATTGTAGAAAAAAATATTTTGGAATAAACCATTTGAATTTGGCAATGACTACTCACTATTCTCACGCGAAATTAAAGTTTTTGTGCATTTTTAGAAAAGTTATTAAAATTTTTTAAAAATCGACTTTTAAAGCTATTTTTGCAATAATTAAGTAACAAATTAACAAAAATATCAACAAATTAACAAAACCTCATTTGAAAGGCCTGTCTATGCTTTTTTAGTAAGATTGTGTTACTTACTTACTTACTCCGTGGCGTTACAACCCTTCGTGGATTTTAGCCGACTCGTGGATTATCCACAATATGCCTCCACTGTTTTCTGTCTTGAGCAACCTCCATCCAATTCTCCACGCCCATAGTGCTTAGGTCTCCTTCTTTAATATCTCGCCACCGGAGATGAGGGCGTCCGCGTGGTCTTCTTCCAGTTGGGACTTCCTCCCACACCAGTCTTACTGTTCGTTCGTCAAAATGTCTTCTGAGGTGTCCTGCCCATTGGAGTCTTCTGGACTTTATTTCGTTTATGATGTTGGCGTCTGGGTAAAGTTCTTCGAGCTCTTTGTTAGTTCTTATCCTATATTGTCCTGATGCTTCATCCAGCATAGGACCAAAGATCTTTCTTACAATTTTTTTCCCAAACACATAGTCTCTCTTCGTTTGCCTTTGTTATCGTCCACGTTTCGCTTCCATACATCACAACGGGTCGTATGATTATTTTATAGACTTATATCTTCGTACGTCTTGTTAGTTGTTTCGATTTTATAAGGTTTTGGAGGGCAAAATGACATCTGTTGCTGGCCTGAATCCTGTTGTTTATTTCTTGTGATCCGTTATTGTCTTCAGTTATTGTTGTTCCAAGATACTTGAATTTTCTAACGCGCTCAAAGTCATCGATGCTGATGTTCTGACCGATTTTGTCTCTGCTTTGGTTATTGCAGCTCATATACATATATTTCGTCTTGTTTTCGTTGATTTGGAGTCCCTTCTTCTCTTCTTCCTTCTCGAACCTTACGAAAGTCTCCTTCATCCTTAATCGTGTGTTATTAGATCGATATCGTCTGCAAATGCGAGTAGTAAGTTTGGTCCTTCTCGATGAAATTGCAATGTGAGCGTAGCAAGTGAGTGAGGAGTTGGAATAAAAGGCTAAGTAGCATAGAAAAGATAATAATTATTCGAGATAATTATTATATATTCCAAATCAAATAAGGGATAATTAATACAGTAAAGTTTGCATTTTAAATCACACAAAGAAATTGACCTAGTTATTGCATTGTTTGATAATTGATTAAACGTAGAAAAAGCACGTCAAACAGAAACTGTTGTTGTAAAAATAACACTGCTCGTGACCCAAATAATGCATAGAACTACTAACTCAGCGAAAACGCAACCTTGGACTACAACCGGTCAATGAGGACACCAGTTGATAAAAGCCAAACTAAGGAGGCCAAGCAGTCAGTAATAGCGAGGCAGTCAGTAATAGCTGGGCACTGTGACTGCCCGCTCAGGCAGTATTGCCGGCATTGGGTCGGACGCGATAGCGTCCAGTACGCGATCAGCAATAGGCAGTCGGTATGTCTCCGGGGAGTAGTTAACACGCGACATAGTATCTCGTATAAATCAGGTTAGTGGTGAAGTTCGTAACAACGGAGGAGTCCCCTCAACTGACCGAACTCCAGAGGACCGAAGACGTGTCGTTGTTGAAAGTCTAACTACACATAAGGTAACAGATTTTTATATACTAACCTGAGTAATTATAATAGTACAACTGTCAATTCTTCACTCTCTTGCTTCTCGTCTCCCGGCGCGTCGAATGACTTATTAACGATTGTATTTGTAAACCACAGGGTATATTCAATATATTGTAGACTCTATTTTGGTTTTAATGTTCCTTTTGGCCGATTCAGACAGAGACTAGGAGAGTACAAGATTCTGCTTATACATATCTCCGGCTTCTAAAGTAAGCCCATAACCTCAACTCTTTACAGGACCTGAGACCTAGGAGTCCTTACCCCTATCCCGAAAATCCCTTATCTTCTCGTAAATCCACGAAGACGAACCAGTCAGTTCGGACCAGTGGGGCCAGTAAGCCTAGCAGCCGCTCGCAAGGTTAGCATCCCTTGAGGGTCTATAAAGTATTTCAGTGGTGACAGCGGAGTCGCCTCTTGTATTACACTGTATATACATAATATATTCATTTTATTTGCCTTTGATACAGTAAAATCCAATATTATTACTGAACATAAAATACAGGAAATTAAATATTTTTACTTTTCAAGCGATCGAAAGTAAATATTTAACGAATTAAACGCCCCACTGTTTGAGGCCCACTGATCATATCTTAATTACATACCGCCCTTCATAGGCTAAAAATTTCGAAAGTACTTTCGTTTCGAAAGACTGTAAGTTTCGAAAAATTTGATGAATTTTATAGCTGTAAGTTTCAATATAAAGTTTAGATTTTCATTTTGTGCAAACTTACTTCTTAATGTTTATAAACAATGGAGATATGATTTTTTTAAAAATAGTCCCTTAAAAAAACTTCATTTCTATTGGTCATAGGTTTTTTTAATGTGTTGCTTAAAAAATATAGAAGTTATTACAATTGTTTATAAGTAAAAAACATACCCCTTTGTCAACCGTTTATTTTTTAAATAATTTCGATGAAAACGCAATATGCATTTAACTTCTGAGATAGTTTAAGTCTTAAAGAATCCTATGAAATTTGCTAAATGTGTCATTAATAGAGCAATAGTTTAAATATTTAGCCTCGGGGATAAATACATTAAATAACTTTTAAACTTGACCGACCGGAAGAAAACTTGGCACAAATTTAAAAGACGGTAATTTTGTTAATAAAAAAATTAATAAAATTTATAAATTAGTGCCAAAAAACTGCTTTTTGCAAATATCTCCGTAAATTATTTATTACCTTTAATTTAAAGACGGAAAATAAAGATATTCTTGACATAAAAAAAATGATAGAAATTATAGACAAAAAATCAAATTGTGACCATAAATTATTGTTTAAAAAATGCAAGGTAAAAATACGAGTACTTTTTTATCTATTCGTCATCTAGTAACCCCCACCTATGTCTTAAAAGCTTCAGATATCTGCGAAAAATTTTTCGACCTTTTTTAACCAGACTGGGCTATAAACTACATCGAAGTGTACACTGAGCCATCAAGCCGACGCAACTTGGCGTTAAAAAGTATAAAGCATTCATTTGAACATAAAAATATCGTTCGATTCTAACAGCCGATTAAAAGTTATTTGTTTACCATTATGCAATGAAACCTAAGTAATCTGAAAACTATATAAGCAGTAATTATTTGCATGATGGACATTTTGATGATTACCTTCAAACTGTGATGCATAAAAATATACCCTGATTAACGCAGAAACTTGTCTTTGGAATATTATACAAAAATAAATTTAATACTCACCTTCTCCTTAATAGGAACGAACCAAAGCTAAAGATACTAAATTTGGAATAAACTCAAATTTTTTTAGTAAAAGATAAACCCGCTATCAAGAATACTTCGATTAAGGACATTAAAATATGATACGGGTCACTATTCTTAGTTGACAATTTTGAAATTTTTATCTAAAGTTAATAATATTCAGTTACAAAGTTGCAAATAATTTCATTGATAAAATCTACAAAAATACGAGTGTCACTTCTTCCCTTGTTGTATTATAAAGTAGAGGTAGATGTGTCTATGTTTGTATAGTATTTACCAGGGCCGGTTCTAGGGTTTTGAGCGCCACGGACAAAACAAAATTTGATGCTGTGACGCAACATAGGTATGGAATAGAATAACGAGCGCATTTGAAGTTCGAGCGACAAAGGAGCGAGAACTTTGTAAAGTTAGTTATATTATTTCTGTTGTATAAGTGTGACATACAAGGATTTTTTAATGCTTTTTATCAAATATTGTATATAATGATACATATATTAAATGGCCAATAATATGGCCTAGGAGGATGCAGAAATAAATCATAACACTCTTTTGTGATATTTCTTTGGACTTACCGTCAAATTTGCTGCCAGCAATTGTTGAAATACTTCTGTCATATTGTTGGCATATTCATCGCAAGCATGTTGCGCAAGATGGCAGAAACGGTCTTTGCTTCCACCACAGGAACTACCGTTCAGATATTTACTAGGGCTATGCGTCGAGAAAGGCCAACGTACGGTTTCATCGTATCCAAAAAGGACACAACCTACTTCCAACTTTTGGAGTGAGTGGAGAAGGCAGTAAGAAAGGTGGAGGCAAGGAGGCTATCCGCAGCTTGCGCAGTACCAGGGACGGAAACCTCTTAATAACCATGGACAAGGACCAGGGGACGGTCTCGATATTAAAAAAGGCTTTCTCAAATAAAGAAAGTGGTTTGACGGCGGAATTGGTGGGAACCGAAAAGCAGGCAATCATTCACCTAAGTGGAATGGCGGAGAGTATACAAGAGGAGGAAATTAAGCGGACTATAACGCAAGAAATCGGCAAGTAGGACCCTAGTTTCGCCATTAAACAGATATGCCCGATGTGGAACAACACTAAAGCAGCCACGGTCTTCCTTACTACACATGCAGCAAGAAGGTTTTTAGACCTCGGGCATCTGAAGGCGGACTCGTACGCTGCGAGGTGCAACGCAGATACATAGTGAAGAGATGCTAACACTGCTGGATCTACCATCACGATGCCTCGTAGTGTGATGATCATGACCGCACCAGACACTCTCATAGGTGCGTAAAGGAGGGTCACACCTTCGAAACATGTCAGAAACAGGAGCACTGTGTCATATGTAAAGAGAGACACCGTATCGGCAGTAGTAAGTGCCCAGCCTTCCGGGAACCACTCCAGAGAGCTAGACAGATCGAACACCCACGGAACATTGAGGCCCCTACCCTCCTACCGCCGCACCAGCCTTTCTCAAAAACGGAGGCTTTGACAATGGAAACGGATCAAGAACACGGACGCTCAAACCAGAAAACAAGGCTCATGGACCCACCCCACTTCGCCGAGGAGTTAAGAAGAGCGGACGATAAGGCAACGCCGCATCGTACTTTGACCTGGTTAAACTACCCAGTCGTCCACGCACCCCGCCCCCTCCTATCCTGGATGGGGAACTAACATCGGCCCCTACCTCTCAGGCACTATCCTCTCAGGGTACTGTCAACATTGACTCGTTAGATTAGATTAAGAAACCCCCCCTTACCGTGTGACCAAATAGCTAGTAATATAGACTGACAAAGGCTTCGAACGAGTTAAAAGACTTAAGATACTGCAGGTAAACATCGGAAGTGCCAAGATGACAGACGACCTGTTACACGCGAAAGCCTTGGAAGTAAAAGCAGATTTTATCATAGTCCCAGAACCCATCAAAAACATCGCCAGAAAGTTTGGTTGGATCACCGATACACGGTCAGATGTTGCAATCTTCCTGTTGAACAAGAATATGGACATAAAAAAAATGAATACGAAAGAAGGATTCGTCAAAATCAATATGAACGAAGTGGCAATAGTAGCCTATTATATATCACCAAATATAAACATTACACAATACCAAGCAAAGGTAGATAATATCTTCAAGGCGTCACTTACAGAAAAATACGTTATAATCGTTATAATGGAATGAATGGATTTCATCGACCGACCTGGTAGTATTAAATAATGGTAAACATACCTTTGAAAGAGGTGAATCGCGAAGTCACATAGCGATTACCCTAGCATCGAACAACTTTGCCAAGAAAATCACAAACTGGAATGTTCTAGACGAGAGTATCTTCACTCTACATAAATACATCGTATTTGAAATTGGCATAAAGGTCACAACTAAGAACGGCAGAAAGGCACTCGAATTCAACAAAGCAAGATTTGCTGAACAAATAAGCAACTTACAAGAAGAAACTACCAACTTTCCCACCTTTAGGAACGCAATCATAAAAGCAGTAAGAGTAAACATGTCGCATATACCGTACCATACTAATGGAATGATGAAATTCAACAAAAGCGGGCAGAATGCCTTGGAATCAGGCAAACCGCACAGAGAAATAGGACACCGCAGACAAATTTACGAATACAAACGCGCCAAACAAGAGCAAAATTATATAATCAAGAGAGCTAAGTGCACATATTGGCAGAACTTGTGCAAGGCACTAGAGAACGACGTATAGGGCGAAGCTTACAGAATAGTCACCAAAACGCTAAAGTTAATGACCCTGTATAATTGTGAATACCCTCTTTTCCAATAATCCCACTACAAACTTCGTTATAAATGAACACACTTGTCAAGACTAGGTTAGCCTTGCGGAACTTATGAGAGCCGCAGATTCCATTAAAGTAGGTAAATCTCCTGGACCAGATCATGTACCACTACAGGTGATAAAACTATTAACTACATTACGACCAGAACCAGGAAGAGAAAACCTTAATGAGCTGCTGACAAGACAAGAATTCCCCGATCAGCTCAAGCTCGCGAGACTTATAACACTTATACCTGAACATGACAAAGATCCGGAGGAAGCCATCGCATATCGGCCGATTTGTCTACTTGTCTGTTTGGGAACCTCTACGAGAATCTTGTCAAAAATCGGCTTAGAGACGAGTTGAGGGAAAAGACATCATCTCAACTAGGCAATATGGATTCAGAAAAGAAATATCAGCTGTAGATGCGGTTAAACATATCACAGATACTGTCAGGACTACAAGGAAAAGATGGGACGTTTTAGTAATGTTTGATGTGAAGAATGCCTTTAACTCTGGGTGCCTTTAACTCTGAGCCAACTGGGAGCACATTATAAGCAAATTAGAATCTGCCAAAGTGTCGGGATATTTAATAAACATCATAAAGAGATACTTAAGTAATAGATATCTTTTAGTGGCTAGAAACACAAAGATCAGATTAACAGCCGGCGGCGTACCGCAAGGCTCCGTATTAGGCCCGACATTATGGAATATACTATATCGATTACGGTAGGAATAGCATGGCAATAGCCTATGCCGACGACCTAGCTATATTATTGACAAGTGACATGTATTGGGAAATCGTAAAAAGTGTAAATGACTGCTTTAGTAAAATAAATAGGTGAATGACGAATAACGATCTGGAACTTGCAGACAATAAGACCGAAACGGTCACCCTAAAAGCCGCGAGAGCTGGGCCAGATTTGATATTCCAACTAGGTAGTAATGAGCTAAAATCAACAAACTGTGCTAAACTTCTAGGCATTAAGTTAGACAGAGGCCTACGCTTCAGGAAACATCTTTCGAGAGTGGTGAAGAAGGCTTACGAACAGACAGCTGCCAACCAGAGAATAATACCCAATATAGGTGGGCCTAGCAGCAACAAGAGAAGATTGTATCTACACGGTGTACAATCGACCTTCCTATATGGAATCCCCGTCTGGATAGATGTACTGAGATATCAAAATTACAAAGATATGATCAATAGAGCACAGAGGAAACTTCTTCTCAAAGTTCCGAGTGCGTACCGAACCACTTCTACCCTGGCCCTACAGACAATCGCTGATACGCTCTTCATTCACCTTTTAGCCAAAGAACGACAGATGTAATATGATAACCGAAACGTTCACTTACCCCAGGTAAGAGCGGCCGTACGAGAGCAACTACTAGCAGAATGGCAGAGGGAATGGGAGGCACAGACTACAAAGGCTCAATGGACCAAAACGCTAATCTCTGATGTGGTGGCTTGGTACAGCTGTGGTACAGACATGGATCTTTTAGGTATTACACAAACGCTATCAAGAAAACCAACGATTGTTGCCATATTCATCGAAGGATCTTTCAACCACAATTACATCATCCCAATAAACCAGGCATGTTTTCCATGTTAGAACTTTTAACTGCCTCTATTAATTCTTTTAAATATGGCAGGGACATTACATAAATCAAATGACATAACCATGAACCGCTAAATCCCTGATCCTTTCGAAAATGCTTTTTTCTCCCGATCAGCCGGCTCCATGTATATTTGCCAATATCCTCTGTTTAGATCGAATGTTTCGAGCTAACAATAATCGGAGAGAGTATCCAATGTATCGTCTATTCTAGGTAAAGGATAACTATCTTTCTTAGTTACCGCATTGAGCTGGTGGTAGTCAATATAAAAACGCGTTGAACCATATTTCTTCTTGTAGGACCGTGGACATCACCAGTAGTTCTAACTAGACTGTTTGATGGTTTAATTACCGCTTGTTTGTTCATATCTTTGATGATATCTTCGGCTTCATTTTTTTTCTTGGTAAATGAAAGTCATCTAGTTCGTTGTTTGATTGGCTGTGCGTCTCCGTTATTAATTTAGTTTGCGTTACTATACTTGTTTTACCGTCATCCTTCTTATCAAGAACATCAATATCTTGTCACATTTTAATCACCATCTCAACAAGCTGCTTTGGATACTTAGTAACTCTTATAGGAACGACATCTGGAACTCTCACCAAAGCTTTTGCCGTTAGGAACTCGGCATTGTCCACATCTTCGACCATCCTTAAACTTCCTTCTCGGTAGTAACCATCAAGTCCGGTCATCAGAATTTTCTCATATTACCTTCTCACTTCCATCTCACTAGTACGTCTTATTTGTCTTCATGAAACGGCAACTCTCCACCATTGATATAGAGAACTCCATTTTTGACATTCAATACAGCTACAACTTTTCTCAGTAAATTCCTACTCGATGGTTCCATGAAGTCTGACTAGCTGTTTCGTATTCCAAGGGAATAGCGAGCGCTTCATCTAAAACTTTCGGTCATGCTAGTTGTAAAGATTTCTCTAGCTCACTATCTTTCAAAGATTAATGAAGGTGTCTACAGAAACTTCTTCCAAACTGTTGTCTGGTGTCTCTGGATAAGGTAACCGCACTATACGAGCAACATTTACTTCAGACTCTTACAAATTTTCACTTGCTCGTTGAATTCTAATTCGTAGCTGTGCTTTGTTGTAGATGGGCATCTCCGTAACGTTTATCTAGTCTAGTTAACAAAGTCTGGTAATATTAATTTAAAATTTAGCGGGCTTCATGTTTATTAAAATGAAAATTGGGTATAGGTAATAGGTATTTTAAGATTAAGCTGACTATTTTTTATATCTTAGCGATGCCTTTTTTTATTAAATACTTAAGTATTATTGTTTTAGTTTTTTTGATAAGGTAATTTTCTGTTTAGAGGTTCTTTTTATTACTAGAACATGCATCATTATTCTCTTTGTATGTATTTCCCCTCAGACATTACCTTCACTACAATAATTTATTCTTGGGCTTTTAAGGGATGTATAATTCTTAATTCTTCGTTATGTCCAGCATGTGGTTTGCAATAACTGACAAAAGCTTATCCTTGATCTCTCACTTTGCAGATCAGCCTGGAAGGGCACACTCCTTTTATTTTAATTGATCCACCAACCCCCTCTGTGGCTCAGTGGTAAGAGCGCCTGCCTTTAAATCTAAAGGTCGTGAGTTCGAATTCCACCTGGGTGGAAATTTTCGTTTATTAAAAAAAATTATTAAGTGAAAATAATTTCTATCCTTGTGTGATCGGTACACACCGGAGGGGCCGCAGACGTTCGGATACAATTAGCGTCTCTTAGCAAAGACAATGACGTCGACTTTGCTAAGTATCAAGACAATTACTCTACACACACACACACACACACACACACACACACACACACACACACACACACACACACACACACACACACACACACACTACACCTCAAATTGTAAGACTGGCGAATGGATTTAGTGTCCGCAGTCATTTAAACACAAACAAACAACAACAAATTGATCCACCAGATTTCTCTGTCCTTATTTTATAATTGAGCTTATATCCTAAAAAAAAGACAAGTATAAGTTTTAATTATAGCAAGTAGCAAAAGTATTGCACTTACCATCGACATTACTTCTGTTACACTCCTACTACAATGTCATGTGCATTTCTATTAATCATTCTATGCATTGCATAACTTGTCTCAATTTTCTGCATATTTTTCTATGTCTTATATTCTTGTTTGCTAGAAAGTTCAACAGTTATTAGTTCAACACTTACCTGGTGGTGATCCTTAAGATGTTTTCGTAATTTCTCATGACTTTCAGAATTAGTTTCTTGCTCACATAAGGGACAAACTATTATGTGATTCATTTTCTTCTTGGACACATCTATTTATGCAATTTTTTAATATGACGGTTTCGAAATCTCACATATTTAAATGTCTTGCTGCAAAGGTGGCTGGCCTATGAGAGAATTTCAGAGCTCGTTGAAGTAGATGGAGTACAGGAATCCATCATTTCTTGCTAAAACAAATACTTGGATAATAAATTATATGTGGTGTTCTAACGAACAGATTTTTAAAACAATTGAAATGAAAAAGTTTTAAATTGAAATTACATAACCTCACGATATCATATGTCGATAACGACCAATCACATCAAATGTGTCGTGCAAGTTTTAGTGTAATCTCAGACCTAATTGGTAATTTCACGACCACATCTTTGATAGTAGGTGAACATAGGATTAAACGGAAGTATGATTTTCAAATGATATGTGTCAGACTCGCGAAAGAAACCTAGAACATTAGTGTTACAGACACACAAATACAGACACACGCGCATACACACATACACACGCACGCACACACACGCACACACACAAACTCGCGCACACACACACTTACACATACGCATACGTACAGACACACGTACACGCACACAATATATGTAGTAGTTGGGTCAGTAAATAAATAAAATAACATTACACTGGTTGTTCATAGACACAAGAAAAAAAGTGGTATAGTATGCGGTACTGAATACTAGCGTGAAGCTTTTTAAGATGGTTTTTATATTATTAAAATATAAATAATATTTTTACAATTGAATAAAGTAATTTTATTATTTATTTATTATTTTCTTTCACGTCGCTTAAATGGACTTTTCTTTTTACTGTGACTGCGAACAACGAACCTACGAAAAAGTAATGTCGAACCTTCGAAATGTCAGTTTTTTGTACGTGTCAATGAATAATTTTTATTAAATAGTCTGGAGATATCCTTATGTGTACGATTATTATAATTATTAAACCTATTTACTTATTTTCGTCCAGTAATTTCATCACAGAATGCATACAAATCCCATTTAACTTTAACAAGAATTCAAATTCTACTCTCCAATGACGGCATGCGCGAACACGACCGATTTTGACTAACAATGTCAAAATTCATCCGATATTCGTGCAAAAGTTAAAATATTTTTAACTTCTTCCGATGACTTTTAATTTCGTACGAAAATCCCATCCGTCATTTTTTAATCAATGAAATTCCCTGAAATTTATATCGTATCATCGTACCGTCGGATATCGGACCTGTGAAAATCCACCTTAATAATCTATGACCACAGAATAATATGTGACCGTGTCATGTTGTCAACACAATAGTGTCCTGTGCATCCTAGTACATTTTAAAAAAGAGGTCCCATGCAAGTGACACTCACAGGTATCGATATTTTTTATCCAGAATGAGAAACCATGTCAATTTGAATCGATAACGCTAATCCTATACAATATGTATAATTTCATTTTTTTATTTAATAGAGAAACATTTTACAAATATTAAAACATTTTTAAATCAACTAAAAAGTTTTATTTGCACAATAATTGACAGTTATCGTTACATGTACGGTATTCAGATTTAAAAATTATCGATACTTATCTCAAAACTAACGATCTCACTAATTCGATAACAATATCGATACTTTGTGACCTCTAAGCCACAGATTATACATATCCAAGAAGCGTTGGTTTGTCCTGTTTCTGTTTATTTAAATGGAATGGTTTGTTGTCTTGTGATTCAACAAAACTCTTGTTGTTAAATACTGGACTTATTCTTAAGTGAGTGTTTTAAACCCTTTGTCGTTCAAAGATATTTCCATTGCCGTCATTTTAGGTTTATCATAATTACAAGTAGTAAATGTATAGAGAGCACATTTTTGAATACTGTGTAGTGACTTAGATATTTACAACTCAACTTTTTGCGTAATTATTGTCCAACACTTATCCTAAAACTGTATAATCCATTTTAATTGTTATGTAAGTTCCTGTGGGAAATAAACTACCACAGGAAAGAATTGTAGTCAACACAACCTCAATCTCATATCAAAACAAGCAATTATGTACATTCCATAAGTTATAAATATATGCTTTTTAGATATGCATTCGAATTTATCTCCTGTAATTAACTCAATTATCGTTATGTTATATCAATATATGCTTAAATCGTGATTGATAGTTATACCTGTTGCAATTGTTGTTTATAAATTCTTATGGTATGATGTGACTTCCATAAAAACTGATCTTGATAATTAAACAAATAAAATATATTTAAACAGTAGCTTTGGTTCTGTTCATGTTGTATGTGTGTGTTCAAGGTTTATAATCAAGATCTTACATTTATTTATATTTTAGGTTCAGAAATTTATTAAATATGGAGTTCCATACCCAACAGTTGGTGTGGGCTGAATTAGTGGATAGTCCACATTGGCCGGGTGTAATAATTGATGAAGGTGATGTTGGGGCAGAAAGACCTTCCTCTGAAACCAACAAGGAATATGTACCTATACATTTATTAGCACAATCTGAAAATATTTGGATAGACCAAGATTTACTTTTACTGTATGAAGCAAACAGGGATCAATATCATAAGGGTTCAGCAGATCCAGTATTTTTAAAAGCAGTAGAAGAAGCTGATGAACATTTACAGAAGCAGAAAGAGGACACTCAATATATCATTGCAATAAAATCAAAAGAAGTAAAAGTGAAAAATGAAGCTGGATCCGAAGCTTTAGTTGTGGATGAAAAAATGGAAACTGACTATGTGGGAAAAGATATCACTGATATTTTTAGTAGTTCAAGTAAAACTGAAGAGAATGTCTCTGTGTGTGACGAGGAATCTAAGAGTAATGTGACTTTAGGTAAGAGATTTAAAGAAAATATTAATAAAAGTATAATTTTAATTGTCTTAACAAATCAAATATTCATATTGTGATAATCTTGCCTTTATCTCTTTCTGAGGTAGGCTTCCCTAATCTTATTCGATTTGTTTATATCTAGGTCATACCATGAATTCACTACATAGATAACTTTTGTCTAACATCTACCATCTTTTCTCTGGTCTTATCCTACTCTGGTTTAACTTTTCTGTTGGAAAACAGCTTTTAACAGGTGAATTGTTCAATCAAATCTTCATAAGCCTGATTTACAACCAACCCTATTTACTGTTAGTGCTTTATGCTCCACATATAGATTAAGAAAACAAATAATGTCATTTAAATCATAGAAATCTTTCAATTAAACAAGCTATTTATAATAATTAAAATAATAACAATGTATACTGTTGTACTAAGTCTAAAGGCAGTAATTAACATAAATAAATAAATAAATAGTTTATTTGCAGTTATACCAATTACAATAATTATAATCATTAAATAAATCATATCATATTAACAGTTTTAGAATTCAATAATAATTACATACAGTTTACACAAGACAAATAGAATAAATACCTAAATGACAGTTTACAGTGACAGCCTACATTGTATTTTAAAAAGATTCTTTCAGCTTTTTTCGAAAACTATTCAGAGAGCTAGAAAAAAGTCTACATCTAAACCATTTCCAGATTGACACATTCGTCTTATAGGTCTATTTAGACAATAGTTTGTTTGTTGGAATTCTAAGTGAAAAACGTCCTTGGATCTTGTGCACCTTTGAGGAACCCTAAGACCTATTCTCTGCAAAATTGGAGGCGAATCTATCATTTCATTTACAATCTTGAAAAGAAAAACCAAATCTAGCATTAAACGACGATTTTACAATACTTTCAATATGACATATAAGGGAGACCAAATAGTGCTGGAATATTCCAGAACTGATCTAACCATAGAACAATACACACTTTTAAAACAATCTAGGTTATTGAATTCTGACAAGGTTCTTTTCAAAAATCCAAGTAATTTAAAAGCTTTATTACAAATAAAATTATAGTGATTTTTGAAACATAAAGTGGGATCAAAAAATACACCTAAATCTTTGAAAGTGTTTGTTGGTTCCAGAAATATATTATTTATAGATTAATTAAAACAGATATGTTGTGAGTTTCTAAAAAAGCGCATTATTTTACATTTATTGATATTAAGTGAAAGGTTATTCTTTGTACACCATTGTCAGAAATTGTTTACATATTTTTGAATTTTTACACAATCTCTAACATCCTTAATTATTCTAAACATTTTCAAATCATCAGCATACAACAAAATAACACAATTTTCAAAGATTTCTAAAATGTCATTTATGAAACAAATAAAAAGAACAGTTGAGGAGCGATCAATCAAAACGCAATAAATCCAGTTTTTTCAGAATTTGAGTAAAATTAATATTCAATAGCTTTGCCGTGAAATATATCCAGTGGTCACAGCCAATTCCTTCCAAACGCAATATTTCCAATAGAAAATAGCTGTCGAAAGTGGGCAAATCAATCAAAACGCAATAAATCCATTTGTGTTCCTAGCGTCAATCAAAGTGCCATAAATCCACCATAGGTACCTGTTTTTGAAGAATGTAATATATATTATTCTGGCATTTGTCTACTAGATGGGGCAATTAGTCCCTAATACCATTGTTTAAAAAACTAATACTTTATTAAGTAATAACTTTTGGCGAAATTATCTCTATAATCTAACCTAAAAATAATTTAATATAACACGTTGTTTTGATTTGTGGTGAATATTATTTTTGTAGTTTCGTTTTGTCTGTAAAATGGGCGATTCTGAGGAGTTAAATCTGACTGTTAAAGAAAAAGGTGTTAGGAGAAGGAGTGACAATGTTTCTAAACATGAGAGTAGAAAAAGCATAAGGTAAAATGTTTTTTTATTACGCGAGATGTCCAATTTAGAGTAATTTCTTTTCGTTTTTAGATATGGTGATTCAGATGTAGCTTTGACAAATTTCAAAAGACCATGTAATCATGACGGCCGTAGTTACCAGTGTAATAATATTACACTGGGTGATATTAAAAGAAATAAGGAAAATATTTACAGCTCAACTAATAGAAATGAGCAAGATATAAAATTGTGTCATATGATGAGTGCCTCTGAAGTAAACAGACGAAGAAAATCCATTCCTTTAAAATCTCGTAAGTTAGCAGTAACATACTACTTAAAAACAAGGAATTCTAAACATCCATTAAGAGTTTGTCAAAAATTTTTTACCTCAGCTATGGGTCTGTCAGCACGGCGCGTAACCAGAGTTGCAAATACCATTCATGCAGGGGAAGTACCAAAAGACAAGAGAGGAGGAGATCAAAGGTCCAAAAAAACAATAACTTATAAGAATTGCGTTAGAGAGTTTATTGGCAATTTGAGAGGACGAGAAAGCCATTACAATAGATCAAAGTCTCAAAAATTTTATTTAGGCAGCGATTTAAGTATTGCAAAGTTACATAAGCTATATAACACAAAGTTCGAGACCAAACAAGTTTCACTGTCAATGTTTTCAAGAATCTTCAGAAAGGATTTTAATTTAGGCTTTTCCTCACCTGCTTCAGATGTATGTGCCACATGTATGAGAATCGCGAACCAAATTAAAATAGAAAAAAATGTAGAAAAAAAGAGAGAATTAATGGTACAAAAGCGCATTCACAACAAAAGAGCTAAAGCATTTTACGAGTTATGTAAAGATCGCCCAGAATTTTCACTAAGTTTTTGTTTTGACTTGCAGCAGGTCCAGCCATTGCCTAAGACACCCATATCTGACGCATTTTATGCACACCAAGTAAGTTTTTATGTTTTCTGCTGTGTTGATATGGGATCAAAACGTCCCCATTTTTATACGTGGAGTGAGGATCAAGCTGGACGGGGTTCTGTGCAAGTAGGATCTGCTCTTCTGCATCATTTGGACTCACTCAATCTAGATGGAATAAAGATCCTGCGACTTTTTTGTGACGGATGCGGAGGACAGAATAAGAACTCACACATAATCCATGCATTATATTATTGGCTTAAAGTCAAGGGACCTCCAGAATTAGAAGAAATTAGAATAACTTTTCCCGTACGTGGCCACAGTTTTTTGCCCGCAGATAGGGTGTTTGGCAGGATTGAGAAATGCATAAGAAAACAATCTGTTGTAAAAACAAAAGAGGAATACATAAGCATTTATCAACAGTTCGGTTTAGTGAAGAATCTTGGAACAGACTGGTTTCTTTATGACATTAAGTCTCTTCAAAACAACTTAAAAAAAATTGTTGGAATACTCGAATTAAAAAGAATTCATTTAAAAAAACTACAAGACAATACTATAAAAGTTTGGTGTTTCCAAAACTTTCGATATGAAAATTTTCTAGAAGTTGGAAAAACATTGATAAAGGCGCGAAAATCTGATCAGGGTATGGAACTAGACAGTATTCCGTTGAATAACGCCCTTATGGAAAAGAAGAAAAAATCTCTGAAACATCTCTTAGAACAGCACTTTGGCGATGACTGGATGAACGATGAGTCTTTAGATTGGTATAAAAAACTATTAGCAACAGAAGGCTGCAATAACGAAGAACAACATCAAAACCCATGTGACTGCCTGGAAGACGACCATGGTGTACATATCTAATGTGAAATATTTTTTATTTTTGTAACTTTTTTAAAATATCATTATAATATAATGATATTTTAGCAATATGAGACAATATTATTGTCTCATATTGCTAAGTTTATTATTATTTAATGCTATTTGTAATATATTTTATTACATATATTTTATTTGTATTATATTTTAATGCTATTTGTAACTTTTTTAAAATATCATTATAATATAATGATAATTTAATGCTCTCTGGGACCTGCAGCACACATATGTTTTTGAAATCATTCGTATCGGTATAAATCCACTAATTTTTTTCACATATCATGAAACATATTGTGCGTTCAATATTCCTATTTATATATAATAATATGCTACCCTTCTTCTTTAAAATGTCATCTGATTTAAATTTTTTAACTCAACGGCGAGTAAGAGGTAACATTTCTGCATTTATCTCTGAATCAGTTTTAGTGGATTTATTGCGTTTTGATTGATCGCTCCTCAGTTGATAAATGACCACCCTGTTGGACTGCAGAACTAACCAAAATCTCTTCAGAAAGACAGTTCTTGACTTTGACAACCTGAGGCCTGTCTGTCAGGTAGCTCTCCAACCACTCAAGCAGGGATCCATGAATTCCTAGTGCCTCTAGTTTTTTTATAAGAATGTTGATGTTAACATAATCGAATGCCTTTGAGAAGTCGGTGTAGGTCACATTGACCTGAGCCCCCTTCCCAAAGACATCCAAAACGAATTCTTCTAGGATCGCTAGATTTGTGGTTGTAAATGGCTTTATGCACCTGCATAAAGCTGTGTTGTTCAGAAATAATTAAACTTTTTATTGGAGAAAATATTTTTGAAGCAATAATTGACTCAAAAACCTTTGCAAAAATAGAAATTTTGGAAATGGGTCTGTAATTTCCTATACATGTTTTACTACCATTCTTAAAAATAGGAGAAATATAACTTTTTTTCCACTCTTCTGGGAAAGTAGCAGTACTTAATGAAAAACGAAAAATTTTAGTAATACAGGAGACAGAACAAAACAACATTTATGTACAAAATAAGGTGAAATTTCATCAGGGCCACTACTAAGTTTTAGATTTAATTTTTCTAACTTATTCAAAACATCTATTAGACTAATATCACAGCTGCTTAAGCTAACTGTTTTATTATAATTAAAGCTTGGAATATCACAGTTACTGTTATCTACATATGACTTGGAGAAATGCTGTTTAAAAAAATTTGAAATTTCTGATGGATTGTTTGACTCATTGTTTTCATAGGTCATGTTGTTTGGTAAGTCATAATGTTTATTTTTACTGTGTACATAACTCCAGAATTCTTTGG